CCCATCAAATTCCCCTCTTGGCCGACTTATTCCCCACCGCCCACATCTCGACGCCCTCCCTTCGGTCCTCCCGGGCCCTGCGGCGGTGTTTTCACCTCTCGGTGTTGTTGACGATCACTCCGCCGCCCTCCGAGTGATTCTTGTTGAGCGCCATAGTCTCCAGGAAAGGGGTCCCGAGACTCGTAGCGCAGTGCGCTTGCGCTCCTCTCCGGCCCGCCCCTAGTGGCGTCGTTCGTATTAGCGCCAGCCAATCAGAGCTCTTCAGCGGAGGCTGGCCCAACCACCTGATCCCGAGTGTCACGTGGTAAGAGTTTACTCCCTCTTCCTCCTCCCTCTTAGTTTCTCCTGCGTCACAAACACGTTGAAGACTACAACTCCCAGAAGGCAACGCTCCCGCAACCTCTGCGCATGCTCATGAAGGATGCATTCTGGAACCTGTAGTCTTCCAGACCATAGGCCTGAATGGATTACCTACCCTGCGTAACTAAACCTCCTGGGCGCTCGCCGGCTAGTTCTCAGCCGGACGCGAATGAACAGTTGGGCGCGTCGCAGGGGAAATTAAGGGAAGCAGCACTGGGCACACAGAATGGGGGCTGTAAACGAAACCTGGTGTGTGGAACTCTCAACAGTCACCTTACTGGGGCATCTTCAGTCAACTCAACGAGCATTATGGAGCCTTAACTAGGTGACTTGACGGCCCACTTGGGTGGTCCCAGCCATAGGCGTAGATGAGGGCAGCACCCAGTTTCTGTTCCAGAATGTGGTGGGCTGGCTGGCAAAGAGTCAGGAAACACTGCCATCCCCTTCATGACGTCAAACCCAGACCCTGGCTGGAGGGCGGTGAGAATCTCCGTGTCCCCCCACCAGATGCCCCGTCCCCAGGGACACGCCCCCCGGCTCCCGCGGCCCCCGGCTCCCGCGGCCCCCACCACAGCTGGCCTCCAGGTGGCGCTGCTCCCTCTGGAAGGTCCAGGCTCTGCGGTCCCGTCCGCCCCGTCTCAGCGTCAGGGCTGGAAGGTTTGAACAAGACTGAACGGGATTAGGCGCCATGTGGGGCCAGCAGCTTACGAAACAGGGCTGAGTCGTTTTAGCTTGTAACCCAGCACTGGGCGGCCCCAGTGGGCACGCTGTAGTTAGGTAGGCTCCCCCACCTACAAGGGGAACCTTTAAGGGGGCATGTGAGCATCTCACTCCCCGCATGGAGGTGCTGCTGCGTCGTTGATCTCAAGGGCTCAGAGTTTGATTCCAGGCAAACAGCTGCTGTTTCCTGACTCCTGGGGATCCACCTACTGACTTAATTTTTTTTTTTTTTTGACTTAACTTTTTGAGTGAGATTTCCTAGATGAATGATCAAAAACTGGAAAGATTAGGAAACAAATAACAGCCTTGTGTGAGGTCTTGTGCAAAACCACGTTGGACCTTGCAGGGCAAGTGCGATGAAGTAGGGCATAAGGGACTTGAAATCTGCCCCACATGGTTAATTTTCTCACATGCAATCATTGCAGCCGTTGAAAACAAGTCAAATTCTACGCCCTGAAATGGAAAGATTGCCAAGGTTTGTTAAATACACAATGATGTATAAAAAATAGGATCTAGATCTAAACTTTCTGGAAAGATCTACTTTGGCATTCTTCCATTGAGGCGTGGGTCTTGGAATTGGGGTTGGCTGGTGACTTGGTGTGCATTGTATACTCTTCTGTGCTGTTTATTGTGCACATTTTATATATTAATAATTAATTTCAAAAAGAAATATAATCCACCTAGTAACGGATATGGAAGAATGGATGCTCTCTAAGGACCATAAAAGGGAAGATGGGGCAACAGTCCAGTCTCACCCCCCTTTGCTGAACTTGGTTGGTGGCAGAGACAAAAGCAGGATTTGTGGGGCCTGAAGCTTATACAATTTTGGGGGGGGGTCCTTGCTTAGGAACTTGTCAACCTATGGCCGTTGGGATCAATTCAGTGCCAACAGGAATCCGCAATTTGGAGTGTGGTGAAGAAGGAAACTTTATTCAGCACAAAATAGCTCAATAGTGATATATACAGCACAGCTGTGAAAACAGCATGGCTCTGAGGGAGTTCTGGGGCCAGGCAGCCCCAGGGCCGGGCTCCTGGTTTTTTGGCTTGTTTTTGTTTCAAGATTTTTTAATTGATTTTTTAGAGAGTGAGAGGAAGGAGGAGAGAGAGAAACATTGATGTGAGAGAGCGAGACATCAATCAGCTGCCTTCTACATGCGTCTTCCTAGGAATCGAACCTGTAACCTTTTGGTGCACCAAATCCCAACAGTTTGGCCCAAAGTGAAGCCACTCTGATTGGCTGGTGATGAAGCTGATGGGGCTATAGCTGCGCAGCTGTGATTGGGTGGGGAAAATAGTCCTTTTGGTAAAAATAGGATTCTAGGAACTCCTTTTTAAAGGCTGGCAAAGATGCAGGGACATAGCGCAGTCAGGCTTCTCCCTGAAGTGCAGTTTGCGCCAGAGCCCTCTCCTCCCCCATAGATATGGCTGCTAGGCTTTTTTTTTTTTTTTTTTTAATTTGAGTCCAGTTAGCCACCAGGAGCCCTTTTAAGTAGGTATCTTCTTTCTCAAGGTCTGCAAACTAAAACATACAATCATGAATACACAGTGCTGTGGTCATACTGAGGCCTCCTGACAGGAGGAAAATGTGATAAAGAGGAAGTCAGAGTGGGGAGAGATAGGCTTAACTGATTGCAGCTTAAATGTCCAACTTTTGCAAATTTTATAAAAACACATTGTTAGGGCTGCTTCCCAGGCTGTGGAGGGGGCCGGTGGTTTCCAGGACCCAATCTAGATTGGTGTGCTAAGTAGGGGTGTGGGTGTGCCTGAGATACACTGCTCCCCTACCCCCAGGACAGCCAGGTGGGGTCCAAGGTGAGAGGGCCCCTGGACCCTCTTGACCTCCAAGAAGCTTCATCTACTTGCCCCAGTGAGCAGAACAGATATCATTTGTGTTGAACAAATAATCACTTTCTTTGTGTGCCAAGACATCAAAAGGTCAGGAAGCAAAATACCACTGAAGCATGTAACCCTCATTTTTAATCTAACTGCCGACCCTGTTCTGTAACCCTGAACACACAGTTACAAGCTAGTGCCAGGAAGTAGCCAACTGTAACAGTTAAACAATGCTTGTTTTGGCTTCTGTACATGGCTTTGCCAGGTTCCCACCCCTCTCCACGCCAACCAGGATGCAGTTTTGCCTTTAAATTCTCCCTGTGAAGACTATTCGAGGCTGCAAGTCTGTTTAGGGCATGAGCCCCCTCGTAGCCGCCGGCGAAATAAATTCCAAACACTCAATTTGGTCTCTGTGTGAATTAATCGCGCAAAAACTGGGTATAACATCACATGGTGGCTTTCCGTGGTGGGCAGTTAGACAGACATGACAGAGCAAGGACCACGGGCCTGGTCCAGAAGGTCACGGAAAGCCCCAGGTGCCTAGCAACGCCACGGGCAAAGCTGGGAAAACAAAGGTCTAACCTTTCCTCCCCTAGCTGGTCACAGGTTCGGGCCCCCTGACCTTTCCTCCTTAGCGATAACATCTAGGCCTCAGTTGTGTTTCAGCTCCAGGCCCAGAAAAGCAGCAAAACCAGACAAGTGACATCAAGGCTGACCTCAGGACCAGCTGCATTGACTAATGACCCTGCCCTGGCGCTGACCAACCAATCAGCAGAGACCATGACCCTAAAAGGACACACCTGGAAAGCAGTTGAATTCTCTACTGAGCTCTCCCCCTCGGACCTCCCCCAGATCTCCTCTCTTAAAACCCTTAGGACAAGGACCCACCTGTAGTCCCTCCCACTCTCCCTCCGGGAGCAAGCCCACGCCTTTGCCCTCCCCCTCGCTGTCCCCTTTCCTCACTTCTAAGCTCCAAGGGCCCTTCCTTTGCTTCTATAACTTGCTTCCTAAGCCCATTTATTCTATGAATTTCTTCTTCCACCTCTGTGGTTTACCAAATAAATGTTCTCTTATAGTCTGGGTCTCGACTCTGAATTCTTTCCCAGCCAGAACCCAGGTCCAGTCTGACCCCACCTGTCTAACACCTGGCGCTGTTCCTGCCTCCACCAACATTGCCATTTTTTTTTAACCTTGACCCACAGTAAGAAATACGTTTTCTATCAAGACCCAGTACACACGGATGTATATTTATAAATGCAACTGAAAGAGTAAAAACCTGTTTGGGACTGAAACAGTAAAAATCACCTCGGAGTGAAACAAAACCAGCCTGCAGTCAACCAGGCTGGGAAGGGAGACGCAGGTGAAGCGCGCAGCCAAGCTGGCAGGCGGCCTGCTTTCTCCCAAGGTCGCGCAGCAGTTGTCAGAGGTCATGACGACTCCCTCTCTCAGCGACTGCTGCTTTCTTACCAGAGTCACCCCAGACAGGCTCTGCAATTCCTAATCATCAGTGGGTGCCCTGTGCTAAACCACTCACCTCGCGACGCCACCCGGCCCCTGGTTAATCCCCGCTGCTTCCAGACCCTGCTCAGAGACAGCAACGCCTCCAGAACCGACCCTTGGTCCTTGCTTCCTGTAGAAACCCCCTCAGAATCCTTCAGAACCCAATCCTGACAAAAAAACGACCCCCCCAGCTGGCGTGGCTCGGTGGTTGAGCGTTGACCCATGAACCCGGGGTCGCGGTTTGATTCCCGGTCAGGGCACTTGCCTGGGTTGCGGCTGGATCCCCAGTAGGGGGCGTGCAGGAGGCAGCCGATCAATGACTCTCTCTCCTCATCAATGTTTCTATCTCTCCTTCTCCCTTCCTCTCTCTGAAACCAATAAAAACATATTAAAAAAAGAAAAGTATTTACTGCCATCTTGCATTCAAAGGAAAAGGCCCCTGGTGGGCCAATTCAAAGGTTTCCCAAGGAAGGGCCCTTCCATAGGAAAAAACTGTCAGAGAGCCACTGTTTGGCCAGAGGTGACTGGGCTCTGGACTAAAGACAGGTGGGTGGGTAACCTGCTTCCCAGAAAACTCTTTATGTCTTTAAGGTTTATTTAAAAATCACGTACACATTTAATCAGGAATGTTATTTTTTCCCCCAGGAGGAGGCTGAATTACATCAGCTAAAAAAAAGATTTGCCCCAGACCAAGTTTGGGACAAGTTTTACTTTATATTGTACTTGAATATTCTCTATTCTATTTTGCTATTTTTTTTTAAATTGCTAATTGTTATGTACTAAATTGATTTTGCAATTCTCAGCTTGAAAGGCCCCCTTCCCTTCCAGAAGAAAGGACAGGGGTGGTGGTGGGGAAACT